GAGACTTCATCAGCCTGAGACCAGAAGAACTAGATGGTGCCCGGCTACCACCAATGACTGCCCTGACAGGGAACACAACAAAGAGCCCCGGAAGGAGCAGGAGAAAAGTGGGGTGTAGAACTCAAATTCTAGTAAGAAGACCAGACTTAATGGTCTGACTGAGACTGGAGGAACCTGGGAAAGCATGGCCCCTGGATTCTCTATCAGCCCAGAACTAAAATAATTTCTGAGGCCAACTCTTCAGACAGGGATTGGACTGGACTGTGGGACGTGAATTGATACTTGTGAGGCATGTGCCTCTTAGCTCAAGTAGCTAGAAGAGACTAAATGAGCAGATTCTGTCCAGAGGTGAGATGGGAAGGCAGAGAGGGTTAGGAGCTGGTTGAACGGACATGGGGAATCAGGGGTGGAAAGGAGGAGTGTGCTGTCACAGTATGGGGAGAGCAATTAGAGTCACATAACAATGTATGTATAAATTTTTGTATGGGGGGAAGAAAAGACTGTTGTTGTTAGGTGCCATGGAGTCGGTTCTGACTCATAGAGACCCTGTGTACAGCAGAAGCAAACACTGCCCAGTCCTGCACCATCCTCACAATCATTGCTATGTTTGAGCCCGTTGTTGCAGCCACTGTGTCAATCCATCACGTTGAGAGTCTTCTTTTTCACCGATGAAATATTACAGCCTAGGAAACCCTATAGGGAAGTTCTACTTTGTTCTATTGGGTCGCTGTAAGTCAGAATTGACTCGAAGGCACACAACAACAACAACAACTAGACTTAAAGGCCTGGCGGATAGTTTGTATTGAAAGGTGGAGCAGCAGAAAGCAGACCCATTTCGTAAAGGAAAGTCTCCAGGTACCAGTTGGAGAGTCTGAAGTCGGGCAAGTCATCAACTGGGGCTAAGGCCCAGGAAAAGGGGCAAAACCTGCGTCCAATGAATGGACACCTGAGAGCCGGGCCAACCAATTAGAAGCTGGACCGGGCTGTAGCCCTATGTGATAGGCTGGAGTGCCTTAAAGCCTTCCTCCCCTCAGGTCAGAATTGGTCAACGGTCTTGGTGGGCGGGACCGGTAGGAGGTGATGCAGAGAACAGGGGCAGGGTTGGGACTCTGGACTGGACCTATGCCTGTGGCCTCTGACAATCATGCGACTAGTCTTTATTGAGAGGCTGCTGTGCCTTCTGGTGCTGTGGCGGTTCAGAGATGAGCAGGGCTAGGAGCTCACAGCATAGCTGGGGGTGGAGTGGGGGACGGAGGGGCATGAGAGAAAAGCCAGAAGTAGGTGTGGGTGCTCAGACCTGAACAAATGAGACATGTGGTTAGAGGATGTCAGAGGAGCCTGGGAGCTGTGAGGGCTGGACTGGCTGGGCTTCATGGAGGAGGCATGGCTGGAACTCAGCTTTAAAGGATGGTTAGGTAGGCAGAGTGGAAGGCCTTCTAGGTGGGGTGGGGGGAACAGTGAGAGGAAAGGCACTGAGGCAGGGCTGCAGGACTTGTTGAGAAAAAGGGCCCGGTTAGTCTGGCGTGGAGATATTCTTTGTCTAGGAGAGGAGGGAGCGAGGCTGGGAGGCCAGCCCGTAGAGAGCCTTAATGCCAGCCACGTAGGCTGGGGCTATCTCCAGTTGGCAGTGAGGAGCCAGTGAAGGTTTTTGAACAGGGGAGTGATTCTAACTGGGTGGTTGAGCTTGTGCTAGGCTGGAAAGATATTGGGAGGGAGAACATGTGGGGAGAATCAGAAGGGGAAGGGTCCTGGCTCCAAGGTCAGCTAAGACTCGGGAGGAGGTCCCCCTGGTCCCTTGGGTGGGAGTAATGTGAAGTTACAAGTAGCAAAACCCCTGTGGGGGCTCGTCTAGACATACTGTCTTAAAGAGAACTTAGGTCAGCAGTGGGCAGAACAGGGCTCTGGAGTCAGTCCTGCCCTTGAGTCCCATTCTGCTGTGGGATCATGCACAATCCCTTCACCCCTCCAATCTTCAGTTTCCTCCTCCATCAACTGGACAAGATACAATTTACCTCCAGGGAGAAGTATGAGGATTAATGAAGAATGACGAAAGGGTCTAGCTCAGTGTTTGACACATAGTAGGTGCTCAGTAGATGTTGTTCCCATCCCTGTCTCCTACTGTTTGGCTGGCACAGAGCAGGGCACAGAGTCCAGCCCTCAAGTCACCTCTGCTTTTAGAGATCATTCATTCATTCATCATTCATTCATTCATTGTTCAGTCATTCAGTCAATCAGCGTTTCTGAGCACTACTATGTGCCAGATGCTGGGACACAGAGTTAAATCAGACCACTATCCCTTGTCCTTAAAGAGTTTATTTAATCATTTCTTCAGCAACATTCATAGAGGCCTGCTGTGTGCTTTGGCTAGGGGTAGGGTGTTGGGTGTTGGGGAGAAGTGAGTGTTACTGGCAGGGGAGTGGGTGTGAATCAGCCCCACCAGGTCACACCTCTATATCCGGGAAGAGCAGGAACCCGGAGAAGATGCTGTTGGCACCCTCTATGCCCACCAGGGAGTTCTTGTCAGTGGCCTGCAGGAACACATTCTCCCCCTGGTCCAGCTTGAGGACCACGCTGCCCGTGGTGACCTGGAAGGTGTTATGGACGTAGTCGCAGAAGGTGACCACCTTCTGCACGCGTTCCCGGCCCCGGACGAGGTTCACACACAGGTTCCCGCGTGAGCTGGCATGGTAGGTGAAGTAGTAGAGGCCGGGCACCCTGCAGGTGAACTTGCCGTTGCGAGGCTCGTAATTGTGGTTCTCATTGGTGATCACTTGGTCGAAGCGGATGACCTGATCCCGACGCAGGGGAGTGTGGATGTTCCGCAGGACAGAGAAGGCTATTTTCTGCGTGGCCCTGTAGTCTCCTGATTCACCCTTGGGGCCACGGGCTCCAGGGGGTCCTGGAGAACCTTTGGGGCCGATGGGGCCCTTGGGGCCAACTTTTCCTGGATTTCCAGGGATCCCTGGATCCCCCTTCTCTCCGAATTCACCATGGTCTCCAGCTAACCCTGGCAGCCCTGGAAAAGCAGAGACAAGAGAAACGAGACCAGAGATCATTGAGAACCAAAGGCTGGGAGGCGGGGGAGCCTGGCTGTGACTTTGAGCAAGTCCCTGCCTCTCTCTTGTACAGCCTCCCATCTGTAAAAAAAGAGGGGGAGGTCAGAGAGGGCCTCTGAGTTTCTATCTAGTCCGGCTTTCTGAGTGTGTAATAGGCTCAACTCTAATAGAGATTAACGGGTGTGTTGAGGGGAGTGGTATCTCCCTAGGAAAATGCTGGGTCTGCCCTCCTCATCAGCTTGTCTGGGTACCCCAATCTGGGCTTAAGTCTAGAGCAAGGATAATAAATTCTTAGCACATTTACTGTCCCTTTCTACTCCCTCACCCATGGATCCTTAATCAATCACAGCACCCCTTCTTGCTGAGCCTGGAAGTAGGCCTTAGACTGCTTCTCAATACAACACTTCAAAGCAGCCACTACTAATCAGGTTGGCACAACACAAGATAAAAACGGATTTCTTCAGTACAGTGGCAGAGTAAAGTGGCTGAGAACATAGGCTCTGGGGACAGACAGATGTGCTTCTAATGTCACATCTATCATTATTAGCTGTGTCACCTTGATTGAGTCATAGTCTCTGAGGCTCAGCTTCCTCATCTGTAAAATGGGGATAATGATATTTTGTGGGATGGTCAGGATTGAATGAAATTAAGTGAGTTGAGTGGCTGGCACAGAGGATTGCTCCATAACAATGGTTTAAATGAATGAACTACATTTTGAGAGGGTTTTCACTGGCGGAGGATCTTATTTGAACTGCACAGCAGTCCTGAAAAATTATTTCACAGGTGAGGAAACAGCAAGTCAGAGAGGTGAAGCCACTTACCCTGGGAGTAAATTCAAACCCAGAATGGTAAGACTTCAACACCACGGCTCTCCTTCTCCCTGGATTTAGTGGCAAGAGATCCAAGGTCTGCTCTCAGCCTCAGTAATTACCAGGCTACCTTGGCAAGTCAGTAGCCTTTCTGGACATCAGTTTCCCCATCTGTAAAATGGGAATCCTTACAAGGTTGTTGTGGGGACTCAGCAAGCTGACGGATTTGCAAGTGCTTTTGCAATCTCTAAGGTGGGCAACTGTGACTGAGGAGGCAGGAGATGGGGCCTCGGTCCGTGACACCTGTGTGTCCCCAAAGCCCAAGGTACCTTTCTCTCCCTTTATCCCTGGGGTCCCAGGATTGCCGTCGGAGCCAGGTGCCCCAGGGATTCCTGGGATGCCAGGGATGGCTGGGTACCCACTGCAGCTGCTCTCGGCCCAGGAGACACCAAGTAGACTCAGGAGCAGCAGCGGCAGCAGCGCCAGGACACCGCCCCACAGGATCTTCATCACCTCACTGTCTCAGCTGCCTCCTGCAGGGGGAGAAGATGTGGGGACTTAATACCATGGAGACTGCTATCATTTGTTCATTCATTTGTTCATGTGTTCACTAAATTCTCCTCTGCTCTAGGTGCTGGGGATGTAGTGATGAACAAGACAGATGTCGCTGCCCCGATGGAGCTGACAGTCTAGAGGGAAGGCAGGCGGTAAACAAGTCAACATATAAACAGAGCCTCTGGTTAGTGCTGCAAAAGAAATGGGAGGGTGCTGGGAGGGAGACTAACTGGACTGGGGTGGGAGGTGGCTGCTTTAGTGAGGGAAGTCTTCCCATGGGGAAGGTTTCTAGCCAGGAGAGGTCTCTCCTGGGAGGGATGTTTAGGCTGAGACCTGAAAAGTAGAAAAGGTTGGGAGGAGAGTGTTCCAGGAGGAAGGAATGGTGGGGGGAAAGGTCCAGAGGTAGGACAGAGCCTGCAGTGTGGAGGATCATCAGAGAGGCTGGTGTGGCCAGAGGACAGTGAGGAGTCAAAGTGATGGGAAGTGAAGTAGGCAGGGGCCAGCGTAGGGTCTTGAAGGCCATGGTATGTGGATTAGGATTGTTTCCCTGTGTTCTCATTCATTGGAGCTTCTGAATTCAGGGTGCCCTGGTGGCACAGTGGTTAAGAGCTACAGCTGTAAACCAAAAGGTCAGCAGTTCAAATCCATCAGCCACTCCTTGGAACCCCTATGGGGCAGTTCTACTCTTTCCTATAGGGTCTCTATGAGTCGGAATTGACTCTATGGTAGTGGGTTTGGGTTTGGTTTGGATGTGGTTCCTGCAGTGGCTGTTTTGTATCCTCAGAGCAGCCCTGCATGGTAGAAACGATTATTTTTACACTGAAGAGGACACTGAGGCTCAGAGAGGCCAAGTCATTTGCTCAGGGTCACACAGTAAGGAATGGAGCTAGGACTCCAACCCAGGCTGTCTGGCCCTGAAGCCAGTGTCCCTGCCGGCATACCAGACCATCTCTGCTAGCTGAATACTCTCAGGTTCCTCCAAGAGCTGCTGGCCCTGGCAAGAGGGTGGCGCTGCCCCTTCTTAATCTGAGAACTAGAAGGAAGCCTGTGAGTCATCTTGAGTTGTCAGCCCAGTTTGGCCAGCACCCCATGGCATTAATTCTCAACACAGAAGAACTTTAAAGTTCATCCAGTCCAACCCTCCTCAGTAACCTCTCTGGTAAAGGCTCTTCCGTTCATGGCTTGCGCTGTTTCAGTGACAGGCAACTCACTACCTACTGAGGTAGCCCATTCCACCATTGCCCACATTCACATTCCCCCTGTCCTTCAAGGCTTTTCTCCTCCAGGGAGCCAACCCTTGTCACTCCTTACCCCATCACCATCTCCTTCTTCTGATCCGTTTCCAGCTCTTAAAATGGGAGAGGACAGTGGTTCCTGCCACTTCCCAGGATAACTGAGAGGGCAGAAACCTCGGCCAAGGTCATATAGCTCCCGTGTGGCTGGATCCAAACTCTTGTCCACTGGATCTCAAAAACATACAGGGCTGTTATGTCAAGAGGCTGGTGGTTAAAGCACAGGCTTTGGAGTCAAATAGCCTGATAAAAGGCGTTAATGCATGAAGCACACTTAGAATCGTGTTGGGTATGTGGCCAGTGCTCAGTAAAGGAGACTTTGATCATTACTGTTATTGTTGCTGTTAGGCAGCAAACGTTCACCTGGTGGTGACAGCCCTGGAGTGTCATAAGGAAAGCAATGCTGCCAGGGTTCAAATCCAGCCTCTGCCACTTCTTAGCTAAGGGCCTCAAGCAAGTCACATCTCTCTGGCCTCAGTTTCTCCATCCATAAAATGGGGATAATACTAACCTCTACCTCACAGAGTTGGTGTGAGGACAGATGAATTAGGGCTTGTAACAGAGCCTGGCATGTTGTAATGCTTAATGAATATTAGCTATTTTATTATTATCACCATCATCCAAGAATCCCCAAGTTTCTGGACAGGAGGGAAGATGTTTGGAGAAGTAAAAAGGATCCATTCCCTTTGGGAGGCTGGGCTCAGGAAGGCGGCTCTCTCAGGTGGAGGCAGCCCAGGGTTGGAGAGCTCCGGCCAGCCTGCAGGAGCTGGGTCCTGACCGCTGATGGGACTTGGACTTCTTGGGGAAGCTGGCGGTGGGGTGAGACTGGGAAGATCTGGATTCTAGCCCATTTCAGCGGCTCCCTGAGTCTCAGACTTGGGGGGAAGACTTAACACTTATCTGGTTGGACCACCCCCAGCCTCCGCCAATTCATGGTCACCCTCAGCCTTGCTCCTCAGTCTCCCCCACATCACTGACCCCTCCATCTCCTTCCAGTCCCGACAGTCCCTCCCCTCCTCCAACTTGAAGTCAGGCCAACTTGACCTTGAACTCCCCCTCTACTGCTCCCTCACTGCATGACCTTTCTGAGGCTCTTAGATGATGACAATTTCTACCTGGCAGGGCTGCCAGAAGGATTGAACGAGATGGAAGCTAAAAGGAGTAAGCCCCCTGGTGCCTGTTCCCACTCCCACCTTTATAAACATCACTGAGTTCACACAGTACTAGTAATTAATTAATCACAGCTCCACCTGCAAATCAAATTATTTCCTTGAAAGAGTCAAGCTGAGCTTTCTCAGCAGACTGCGAGGAAGTGAGAAAAGCAAGGTGTTGGGAAGTGCCGGGCTGGGCAGAGGGAGACCTGGATTCTAATTTCACCCCTGCCTCAGGTTTACTGACATGTCTGAGCAGGTAGGGTATTAGCGCTTGCTGAGCTTTGTCTCCCAGTAGCCCTGGAGAAAGGTTCTATTGTCCCCAGGCTAAGAGAGGTTAGGTGAGTTGCCCAAGACCACCAGCACGTAAGAGGCAGAAGCAGGACTCAGCTCAAGTCTCTGTGACCCCAAAGCCCTTATGCTGGTGGCTGCAACTGTTGGCTGCCTGCCCCATCACCTGGGCCCTGGGTGGCAGCAGACTCCCAAGCCCACCCCAGAGAGTCTGATTTCATAGGCCTGGGATTGGGCCCGCAATCCACACTGCTAGCAAGCACCCCAGGAGCTCATCTTGAGAATCACCACCCTCCGCCATCTTGGCTCTGCTGACCAGATCCCCCAGACTCTGATCCCCGTTCTCACCTGGGGACCTGGTGTCCTGTGATTCTGCACAACTGGGCAGCAGCAGGGCCGGGAGCTGGGAGCCTGCTGCTCTCAGCTCCAAGCGGAAGTTCCGTTCCCCAGAGGCTGCGGGAAGGGCCTTCCCCTACGGGGCCCCCTCCCCGTCACCCCACTCGCACCCCCTCTTGCTGCCTTCAGGCAGTTTCAGGTCCCGTTTCTGCAACCCAGAGGGGTTTACTGTAAGTGTGCTGGGTGGTTGGTGTGCTTAGTTTCGCTAACTCAGCAGCTGTGGGGAGAACAGGCTGTCCTGGGAAATGTCCACAGCTGGTGGCTCATCTGCCAAGGCCCTCTGACCACATGGTCTTCTGCAGGGGACAGGGGTGTCACTCTATGAAATAACGTGGCTGGCCAGATGCCTGAGCACTGGATTTGGAGTCAGAGACCTTGCTTTGCGTTCTGGCTCTGCCACTTACCACCTGAACGTTCTCAGCCAAGGGGACCCAAGGGAGTCCCAATTTTGTCCTCTACGTAATGGGGCCATAATCACACCTGCTCTGCAGATCTCACGGGGAGGCTCAGCTGGGATAATGGAGGAGAAAGCATGGGCCAAACTGTAAAGTGCTGTGTAAATGTTAATTGTTAGTATCACTCTATGTCCCAGGCTTCCCGTTTCTGGGCTCACCTCTTCTGCTTCCTTCTCGTTCTGCACCCCTGCTATTTCCCTATTCTCAGAAAATAATCTAATAATGAATTTTAAATGTAGTCATTATTTATTTATACCCTTCCCTCCACATCCAGCAGGGCTTGGAGTGGATGACAATAACAGGCCCAGGCAGGGGTCTGTTGGTTGTTAATTCTGGAATCATATCAAGTCAGGGCTGGTGAGGGGCTTTGAGGTCACCCAGCCCATCCCCCTCGTTTTACATGTGGGGAAACTGAGGCCCAGAGAGAAAGCCATCCTTCGGTATTTATTGTGAGCCTTCAGGTGCTGGGCACTGGAGAGAGAGCCCTAAGCAAGTCAGCCATGGTCCCTGTCCCCATGGAGCTTCCCTTCTACTTGGGGAGACTGGTATTAAACCTCTCATGACACACGATTTCCTTGCTACTGTGATAAAAGTCTCATAAACGTAGTGACTGCTGGAGTCACACTCGGGGAAGAGACAGGGCTCCCTGGCACCCCTGGCTCCAGGATGTCAGCCTCCTAACTGTGACTGCATCTAAGACAAAGAGCTGCCCTTTTCAGGGATAGCTGCCTTAGGCCAGGAGGGCCCTCTAGACATCTGAGCTTGGAGAGAGAAAATCGATGGGCTGCTGGATGCTAATTGATGGAAATTAAATGTTAACTGCAGTGGGTGATAGGGAAGGGAAAGCCAGTTTGATAAAACCAAAGGGTCTCAGGGCTGAGACCAACAATAGACCCAAAGGGACCCAGGCGGCGGTGAAGAGGGAAAGATGGCGGATTCTGAGGAGGAGGAGGAAGCTAGTAGGTTGCAGGTCCAGGAGTCCGGCTGAGAGTTTCTCAGGCCGTTTGGGCCTAGCCTCTAACTTCTTGGTGGCTGAGGGTGATGGGAACAGATCAGCTTGAACCTGGGGTAGGAGCTGAGTGAGACTAAGAACAGGAAGCAGCGGTTGTTAATTGCTATCGAGTCGATTCCAACTCCTGGCGACCCTGTGTGTGATTATAACTGCACTTCACAGTGGTCTCAAGGCTGTGACCTTTCAGAAGCAGATCACCAGGCCAGTCTTCTACGGTGCCTCTGGGTGGGTCCTAACCACCAACCTTTTGGCTTGTTGTCAAACGCTTAACTGTTTGTGCCATCCAGGGACTCCTGGAAGGAGCAAAGAGGCGGTTAAGACCATGGGCTTTAGAATCAGCCACAGCTGAGTTTCAGTACCAGCGCTGCCTCTTTCTAGCTCTGTGGCCTCATGCACATTTATTACCTCAGCTTCCCCATATATAAATCAGGAGCAGGAGCACCCATCTCCTGGGGATGTTGTGAGAGTCCAATGAGATAATTCTGCACGTCCAGGGCCTAGCTGCGTGCCCAGCCCTCAGTAGGCATCCAGTGTATTCTGGGAACAGTATTATTTACACCAACAGAAGACAAAATTCTTGGGAGTCTGGGAGCAAAGGAGCCAGGCCTGGGTTAGGGGAAAGCCAGGACTTAGGGATCAGGAGCTGAGGGGTCTCTGGGCCTGGACCCCTGAGTGGGAGCCAGTTAGACTCTGTATCTATACAATTGCTGACTTGCATCCGGGATAGAAAGGGAATGGATAATATCAGCAAGGAGTAGAAAAGGAAACCGCCTAAAACTCCTCAACTCCCTGTGGTCTGAAAGCGATTCCTTGCAGCTTGGGGTGTCTCATCTGGTTCCTGCTTCACCCCCCCCATCCCCTTCAAGCCACCAGAGGAGTCTGCCTCTGCCTGTCTGCTCCCCTAAAAACTCTCCCTGGCTCTCCTCAGCACAGACGACAAGCTGGCATGTTCACAGGGTTGTCTCTCCTGATTCAGGGAGAACAACAAGGAAAGAATTATGGAAAATAAAAACACAAAAAGTGTCGCTTCCAAAGCACAGGTTTCTGATCTGACACTGTGGTTTACATACACGGTGTATTGATTTTGTAAACAAAGGAGAAATGAGAAGAAAGATGTATCACTTGTGGCATTGCTGGGTAGACTGCTAAGTGGTTGATGGAGGGAGAGCCATGAATGGAGGCCCTGTCCCTGCCAGAGGTGCCCAGAGGTGAACCGGCCGGGATAATGTCTGTAAGTGTGTGAGTCTCTCTCTTTCTCTCTCTCTCTCTCTCTTCCCCACCTTACAGTCTATGGCTCTTATGTACTATATGCCAGGCATCCTATACGAGGCTGAGGATACAGATATGTATCAGAAATGTCCCCACCCTCAAAGATGCTCACAGTCCGGGTAGGGGAGGCAGACCTGTCATTGAATAAGTGCATAGAAAGTGGACCCTGTGCATCAGATTTACCTGTCAACCCCCCTACTCCCCTACAGCCCCATCTTCCCCAAATCTTTGTAGAACAGCCTGGGCTTCAGGAATCTTTTGTCCTTTTTTTTTTTTTTTTAATAAGCCCACAGGTAATTTAGTTGCACCATCAAATTTTGTAACCCGGGTTCCAAAGTGTCATGAGTTTGTGATCCAAGTCTCTGGAGGGTACTGTGGGGACACAAAGAGGGGAATCAGGGAAGGTTTCCTGGAGGAGGTGATCTTGGAGCTGAGTCCTGAGAGCTAAGTGAGTATGAGCCAGGTGGATAAAGGATTTGTGCGGGTGGGTCAGGGGGGTGCTCTATAGGATGAAGGGACATCAGGGGCAAAGGCATGGGGGTGTGAAACAGCACATTTCAAAAACAAAGACGTGAAAGGGGATGGAGGTGACTGACTGAAGCTCGCTCGAGCCTGCACTCTCACAGCCCGCCTTTAGTCAGCCAGTGCCCCTGTGCACTTCATGGGGCCTCGTGGAGCTGAGATCCCAGCAGGCCGGGGCCAGGTTCTCTCTGGGCCTGAATGGCCTGGGTTCTCACTGGACTCTGACGTCTGCACGGGAAAGTTACACTTTTTATCTTTTCACACTTGCACTGTCAGTTCCGCCTGGTGTCCGCTGTGGTGACACTGCCACAGCAGATGACAGCTTCCCTGGTCCTCCCGCAGGGATCATGGCAGCCGGGCCAATGTCAGGAAGTGCACCATCTAACATGATGGTCTGTGGGCAGCAGGGATGTTAGGGCCTTCCTGGGGGCTCCCAGAGTCTGTGAGTTATTCAGGTGGGTCAGACTTCTGGGAAGAAGATTCATACCTGCTCCCTCCCTCACTCATGCCCATTGCAGAGGATGGCTGCAAATATACGAGTTGATACGTGTAAAGCATGTAGCATAATGCCTGGTGCATAGTAAGTGCTCTGCAAATGTTAGCTATTCTGATTTTTATTCACTCATTCATTTACTCTGCATTCAGTCAGTCATTCACCCAGTTAGTGATTCATTAATTCACCCCATTCACTCATTGACTCGCACAAATTCATTGTCCATTTAGTCTTCGCCTGGACGGGGCTTACCTGAGCCCAGACCCCTCCTGTGACAAACCAAACCAGATGCTGTAGAGCCCATTCCCCCTCATGGTGACCTCACGTGTGTCAGAGTAGAACTGTGCTCTGTAGGGTTTTCAATGGCTGATTTTCTGAAGTAGATCGCCAGGCCTTTCTTCCAAGGCACCTTTGGGTGGACTCGAACCACCAACCTTCAGGTAGCAGTGAGCATGTTAACTGTGTGCACCAAAGTGCTCCTAAAATCCATCACAGGCCTGGGGATTCAAACACACTCTTGTTTACCCGTGAGCACCAATACCTGTAATGACAGCAGTACCTCTCAACCAAACGAGTGACAACAGACAGCCCCTTGGGGACCTCTTGTGGCCTCTAACCACACTTGGGCATCTCTCTCCCACCAGGCCAGATGGCTCTGAATGCCTTCACATTGGCGGCCAACCTTACTGAGCACCAGTGACATGTCTTGTCCTAGTCTAGAGCCCAAGGATGGCTGTGGCAGATGCAAAACCGAAAATGAGATCAGCTGCTTCAAGGAATTGGCAGTAAGGAATCTGAGCCGTGCCCATTTATAGATTCAATTATTTATTTATATATTTCCCTGCTTCTTCCAAGACTGGAGGGTGGGGGGAGGGGGAGACAGCACCAGAAGGCATTGGTTAGGTGTCAAAGGAACAGTTCGAGCAATGACTCCTGAAGGTGCGCAGAGGAAGAGAGAGAAGGCATGGGGTGGGGTAGTCAGGGCAGGCTTCCTGAAGGAGGAGTCCATCAGGTGAGCGAGGATGCAGACACTGGCAAGGGCTGGGCAGCCCAGTCTGGCTGGCAGCCCAGTCTGGCTGGTTCCATGCAGGGAAGCCGAGGCAGATAGGGCCACCTGCCTAGTCGGGGAAGAGCAGGAAGCCAGAGAAGACGCTGTCGGAGCCCGCGGTACCCACCATGCCGTTGTAGTCGTTGACAGCCAGCCACACCTGCTCGCCCACCTGCAGCCGCAGTAGCACGCCGCCTGAGCTGACCTGCTTGCTGTTGGACATGTGGTCGCAGAAGGTGGTTACCTCGATGCCACTGCGGTACAGCTTCACGCACAGGTTGGCCGTGTGTGACGTGTGATAGGCAAAGTAGTAGAGGCCGGGCACATGGCAGGTGAACTTGCCCGTGCTCGTGTCATAATGCCTCTGCGGGTTGGTGATGACTGTGTTGAACTTGACCAGGCTGTTGGGCGCCGGGAACTGGCTTGTCTGCCGTGTCACTGTGAACACCGACTGGTGCTTCTGTTTGTATCTGCCCTCCTCGCCCGGCTCCCCAGGGGGGCCTACGATTCCTGGGGTGCCTGGAATCCCGGAGGCCCCCATGGGGCCATTTTTCCCAGGGTGGCCAGGTGTGCCGGGTTCTCCTTTCTGGCCCTTGGGTCCTCGTGTCCCAGGGATAGCTGGAATTCCTGCGAAGAGAGCAGGTGGGAAGGACGTGATGGGGTGGGGAACAGGAACAAGGAGCCCTGGAGGGGAGGTCTCCTCAGAGAACATACCATAAGTGTTTGGTCTCTGGAAGCTCCTTCCTCCAGTTGGAATACCTACCTGGGAGCACTGTACGGGGAGTAAGATTCTGCCAGAGGGGAGGGAGATCTGGGTTCAAGTCCTGCCTCCCCATGGACTTGCCCATGGACTAGTTTTTTGGCCCCAGTTTCCTGGCATTTCCCTGTTTCTTGGCCTCAGTTTCCACAGTCATGGGGGAGAGGGTAGGACTAGACCTCATCAGGGGTGTCAGCAGACTGTAGCCAACCAGTGACATGTGGCCTGCAGATACCTTCTTTTTGGCCTGCCCTATATAGACAGATGGATAGATATAGACATTGATATATAGATATTAATTAGAGCCCAACATTACAAAATTCAAAAACTGCCATTTTGTCTGTCTTGACACAAAGATTAATTCGAAGCAGATTTCCTGGGAAGCTCATGAAGTTTGAGCTTCAGGCCCCTTTACTTGAACTGGCCCCTTGAAGGCCCTTTAGTTAATTTTATATTTATAATGTTTTTCAACTATTTATTTTGAAATAATTGTAGATGCACAGGAAGTTGCCAAAAAAAAAAAAAAAATGTACAGAGAAGTCGCATGTACCCTTTACCTGGTTCTTCCCAGTGGTACATCTTACATAACTAAAGTACAATATGACAAGTGGGAACTTGACGTTGATTCAATCCTCTGATCTTATTCAGATTTCACCAGTTTTACATGCGCTTGTGTGTGAGTGCGTATGTGTATAGTTCTATGTAATTTTGTCACATGCATAGATTTGTGTAACCACCACCACAATCAAGTGTATTTATACTTTTGTATTATTTTTCTTTAAGAGAGCCCTCCACATTTTACAAGCTTCAGAGCCCCACGGAACCTGTGTCTGTTCCTGAGATCAGGCCCCCTCCGCACTCAGCACACCTCAGCCCTGTGATGGCTGTGACTCCCCCATGTTACAGTCGGGAAAGTGAGGCCGGAGACTTGCCCAAGGCTATGCAGCCAGTACAAAGTCCAGTCAGAACTCAGATTAAGTCTGATTCTTGTGACAGCCATGAAAATCTGAGCCTCTGTAGAGATTCTTCTCCCCTTGTCCAGTCCATAAAACAGTTGCCATCAAGTCAATTCTGATTCACGGTGACCCCATGTGAGCCAGAGTAGAGCTGTGCTCCGTAGGGTTTTCAATGGCTGATTTTCCTGAAGTAGATCGCCAGGCCTTAGATCCAAGGTGCCTCTTGGTGGACTTGAACTGCCAACCTTTCAGTTAGCAGCTGAACGCTGAACTCTTTGCACAACCCGGGGACTCCTGTTCACACCATACCCGTCTTTTAAGGTCTGACAGAAGTTTTCCTCTTCCAGGAAGCCGTCTCTGATTACCCCCCACCAGCCCTGGCTGATCCTTTCCTCCTCTGAGCCTCCATAGTGTTGAGGTATCTGTGCAGGCCCACTGTGACAGATCCTCTGGGGTTTGTTTTTCCCTTTTAGCTCCCCACACCTGTGCAGTGAGTCAATGAGGCTCAGAGGTTTAGGAGTGTGGGATCAGGACCCAGGAGACCCCAGCTTCAGGCCACATGATCCTGTGCCAGTGACCTCCCTCCCCGAGCCTGTCTGCTTAGTGGAGATCACAGCATAATAACAGTGACAGCTCACAGTGTCAGCCTTCTTCTTTTTTTTAATTGTTGTAATTAAATGAGGTTTACATTTCAAGTTAGTCTCCCATACAGAATTTTTTCTTTTAACATACATTGTTATGAGACCCCAACCGCTCACCCCATTCTGGGACAACACACTCCTCCCCTCCGCCCCTGATTCCCCATGAACCTTCAACCAGCTCCTAACTCTCTCTGCCTTCCCCTCTCACCTCTGGAGAGAAGCCGCCCCTTTGGTCTCTTATATCTACTTGTCTAAGAGGCACATTCTTCAGAAGTATCACTTTATGTCCCACAGTCCAGTCCAATCCCTGTTTGAAGAGTTGGCCTCGGAAATTGTTTTAGTTCTGGGGTGATGGAGAGACCAGGGGCCATGCTTTCCGGGGTTCCTCCAGTCTTAGTCAGACCATTAAGTCTGATCTTCTTACTAGAATTTGAGTTCTGCATCCCATCATTCTACTGCTCCATCAGGGACCCTCTGTTGTGTTCCCCGTCAGGATGTTCATTGGTGGTAGCCAGGCACCATCTAGTTCTTCTGGTCTCAGGCTGATGAAGTCTCTGGTATATGTGGCCCATTCTGTCTCTTGGGCCATGTCAGCCTTGTTTAGGATTGCTGCCAGGGATGCTTAGTGGGAGGTGTCTCGTCTATCCTTGGCATTGTCTTCAAGAATCCCCTTGGGAGGTTTCTGCTTGAGTCTTGAAACAGCACTGGGGAGGAGTCCAGAGAGGCAGTGGAGGGTAGTGGTTAAGAACATTGGGCTTTAGAGTTGGGCAGGATTGGGACTGATTCCACTGTGTGACTTTAGGCGAGGTGCTCAACCCCTCTGAACCCCAGGTTTGACATTTGAGAAATGGGAGCAAATTTCCCATCTTCAAAGGGGTTTCACACAGTGTTCTCATTCAAAAAATAGTGTTAATTGTATCTCTCTCATGAGCTAAGTACGAGCAGAACATTTGGCACGGTGCCTGGCATGTAGTAGGAGTTCAGTAAGTCGTGGCCACCAGCCACCTTGGGCGGGGAGATGGCCAGAGGTGCCGGCGAAGTACAGGGTCCTGGAAGATGACACAGCTGGTGGCATCATTCGGTGCGGGGTGCTCACTTGGAATTGGAGCATTCCTTCTGGAATGCTGGTAACATTCCACTCCATCACAGGGGGGAAGATGATAGAGGGGAAATTCCTAAAGTAGTTCTTCTCCACTGGCCTCCTCTCCTCCCTCCTGCTTCTACCAGTCTCACCCATGCCTGCTGCAGACATGCTTGGCCTCCCAGGTACACACCTGCTCACCCACTGACCCCCTTAGTCTCTCCCCCAGCACCAGCTGCCCGTCCATATCCTCAGCCCCCTTCTCTCATGCCAGGCTATCCTGTGAATCTCCACTAGAAGATTCTGCGGCTGTGACCCTGACTTCTCACCCCTCCAGCTCCCCAGAATCCTGGGCAGGGAGGCGAGTACAGCTCTCTGATCACAACAATGATGACAATAGCGATAACAATAACCTACACTTATATCATCTCTACCACGTGCTTATACCAAATACAAGTTTTATATTTAAACCTCTTTAATCCTCAGGACCCTCGCAGGGAAGTAGATGCTACTATCTCCCCATTTTACAGATGCGAAAACTGAGGCACAGCAAGGGTAAGTAACTTGTGCAAGTTCACCTAACTGGGAAGTGATGGAGCTGGGATTTGAACACTAGCACCTGTGCATTGTAAGTATTCACCTGTGGGCTCCACCTTACCCTTAGATGTCCATGTGGCAGGCAAGTAGGGAAGGACCCACAGATGCAATCAAATAACAGGACAGCATTTTAGAGTTTACCAACGGCTTTCACATGCTTTATCTCGTCCTCCTCCCTGCCCCCTTCTGGGGCCAGGTGCTCTTATTCTCCTCCTATTATCGGATGAGAGTCCTAGTGGCACAGTGGTTAAGAACTCAGGCTGCTAACCCAAAGGTTGGCAGTTCAAATCCACCAGCCGCTCCTTGGAAACCCTATGGGGCAGTTCTACTCTGTCCTGTAGGGTCTCTATGAGTCGGAATCGACTCAATGGCAACAGGTTTGGTGTATTATCAGATGAGGAAACTGAGGGCCAAAGAGGTGAAGGTCCCTTCTGGGGAGGCCTGAAGCCTAGGCTCTGAGGAGAGAGGCGCTCAGACTCCACCCTGGGGCCAGGAGTGGCGGGAGGGACAGACCTTCCTGCCATCAGGTTGCTGTTCCCCCACCCAGGTCACTCAAGCCCCTGCCCCCCAGGCCCCAGACTCACCTGACTCGCCCTTGGGCCCTGGCAGCCCGTCATGCCCGTCCTTTCCTGGGGCCCCGGGCATGCCCGGCATCCCTGGGATCCCATAGCAGCTTGTGCTGGCCTGGCCCCTGAGGGGTAGTGCCAGCAGGAGCAGGAGGAGGGGCTGGGAGCTGGGCCCCATGTCTGTCCTGGGGAAGGAGCTGGGTGGAGGGAGAATAGAGTTGGGAGTTGGCCCCCTAGTCCTTCCTTCACCTGTCCTCCTTACCCTTCTCACTCCCCAGGGTCAGGCCACCCAGCCCCACAGCCCCCCTCCCTCCCAGGGGACCACAATGGGTGATGGGGCCTCTTCTTTGCACACTGGTCCCTGGCCCAGCAGGGAGTGGGCACCTCCTTCCTCTCACGAATCAGGGCCACATTTCAGGAAGGTGGCACAGGGACAGAATAGCCCTTTGCTCTCACCTGGGCAGGGCCCTGGGCTCACCTGAAGGTGGGAGGCTTCTGGCCTGGTCACAGAGATGTCCTCAGATCTGCTTTCCCTCTCCTAGCAGGAGGACACCGTGCTAGAGTGGACACAACCCAGAGCTGGGCTGACCCCCTCTCTTCCCTCCTCTCCGTTCCCCTCCTTTCCCCCCCCTCCCCCCTCCCCCTCCCCCCACTCCCACATCCCCTTTCCCATCATTTTCCCTGACTGGACACTTTCTTTTGGGTGCTGAGCCAGACTGACCACAGTGACACCCTCTGTCCCCTGCCCCAGTCATGAGGGTATGAAATGAGGAAACATCCAAGGCCCTGGCATGTGGTTAAGGGTGGGATTGGGTGTGAAGACATAACCTTTTGGGCACAGACTTCCCTCAGAGTCAACTTTAGTCCATCTAATGCCCAACCCTGTTTGCTAGCATTTGTTGGTATGTTGGAGACACCCCTAGGAGGAAGTTATGATCTGCCCCCCTGTACAGATACGAAAATGGAGGCGCAGGGAGGCCAAATCCCTTGTCCAAAGTCACATAGTGAGTGGTTCCTTGGGGTCCAAAGCCTTGCTGTGACCCCTCTGCTCAGCAGCCCCCAGAAACAGGCCTTGCATGCTCTTGTCAGATGGCTGGCCCTGTTCTAGGCACTTCCATTTCCCCTGACTCATTTGCCACACTTGGTGGACACCCAGGATGGGCAGCTTTGACAGCAGGCAGCGGCTGTGGAGGACAGACTGCCCCAGTTACAGGGTCCGTAGCCTTGGATTCTCTTTCCAGCCCCACCCATCCCTTGCCCCAGGCCTTTGGCAATTCACTGGCCCCTCTGGGCCTCTGTCTTTCCATCTGTATATTGGGGCTCCCCAGGCTTTGGGTGTTGGTGCCTCCTCCTTTGCTGGGGCCCACAGTTTCCCTGGTGATCTACCTTCCCTGTCAGCACCTCCATCCTGGGGACACCCTGCTTCTATTCTTGCAACCTATGTGGCTGATGAGAGGTTGCCAGTGTGGGCCAGGCTGGCAGAGCTGAGAGAGGCCCCCACTCCTCATAGAGATTCTTGGGATGAAGTAGATGTGGGGTAGTAGAGGTTCCAATCCTGACCCCCCCCACCACTGTGCCTCCTGTGTGACTGTGTGAAGTGCTAACTTCCCTGTAAGATTGGGGATTCCATTAGCTGGTGCACAGGGCTGAGGCGAGGATTTAGTGCATAACACAGAGACCATTTTAACCTCGTGCTGGGCCTGGGCAGGAGTTCAGAGCCCTGCCCCTGCCTCGCTGAGTGACCTCTTGAGGCCTCAGTCTCCCCATCTGAGCCAGGGGCTGCTGTGTCTCCCCCCTGCCTGGGACACGGGGCTGCAGAGAGCATGGGTGAGGTCAAGGACGTGGACACAGTTGACCCTGAGAGTCCCCAGCGGTGGAGGCCTGGGAAGGACAGGGAAGAGCAGAAGCATTTCCCTGGAGCAGCCTAGCCGATGGCACCCGGGGCTCCCATCCTCTGTGCTCACCTCATCCGTTGCCTGGCTTGACTTGTCCAGCAGGTGGCAGCCTTGGCTCGCGCTCGGCCTCACCCCAGCCCTCCCTGCAGCTCAGCTCAGGCTCAGGCTCATTCCCTCCTCCCAGAGGGGCCAGTCGCTATGAGTCGGAATTGACTCGATGGCAGTGGGTTTGGCTTTTTGGTCTAGAGGGGCCAGCGGTTTGCCTGAGAGCCTTGCCCAGCTCTGATTTAGGTGGGGGAGGACAGGCATGGGTGGAATCTAGGGTGAGGAGGCAGCCAGGCACTCCTGCACCCACCATTTCTCTAGCCCGGCTTCCCACCACCAATTTTCCACCACTTTTCCAGCCTCTGGCCTGCCCAGTCCCATCATAATGAAAGAAGCCCTGCTTTGGGGTCAGGCAGACCTGGTTCAAATCCTGCCATGTGAGCTTGGGCAGATGGCTCCTTTCTCTGAACTCAGTGTCCTCATCTACTTTGCTGGGATTAAATGCATCAATGGCTATGAAGTGTCCAGCACATAGTAGGTGCTCAAAAATGTTTCTTTTTCCAGTCTGTGGATGTGTGTGCTCTGGATGGATGAAGGAAGGGCTAGACAAGAAAGCTGACTTTTGAAGGGGGACGAGGGGCTGTGAGAAACCCAGCACTACACTGGGCTAAGGAGGGCTCTCTCTCCTTCCCAGGTACCCCCTCATTTCTAACTGATCCTCAAAGATTGTTGGCAGGGCAGAGGCAAGAGCAGCCCCAAGAAAGGGTCTTGCCCCAGGAATAGGTGCTGCCCCACCCAGAGTTCTTCAATGTGTGCGTGTATCTAGGGTGACGGTGGGGATGGGGTGTGTATGTTATGTACGTGGTGACTGTGTCTCCGAAGATGGCTGTGTGGATTCTGAGTGCGTATGGAGAGAGAACACATACATGGCCAAGGCACGTGTTGGAGGGTGAGGAGGATGTGTATACCAGGCGTCAGTGGGAGTGTCTGGGTAGTGACACGTGTCTCAAGGGGTATGTGTCTATGTGTGTGAGGACTTCTGATAGTTTACAGGTATCACTTGGGCATCTGAGGCAGGGGGTGCATGGCTGTGACAGGATGTGTATCCGTGAGTGTGTCTGCATGTGGCTTTGAAGGCATAACTACTGTGTATCTCCAAGAGAGTGTGTGTACATGTCTAAAGGAGTGGGTGTGTGCCAGAGAAGGGAGTTACGTGTGCCTGTGTTTCTGTGGGACTGGGTGAGTCTTGGTCTAGGAATGTGGGCCCTTGTGCATCTCGAGGTGTGTTGTGTGTCATGATAGTGCATGTGTGTGGTGCATGTATGATTGTGCATGTATGTTTGATGTGCACGTATATGATTGCCTGTGTATATGTGTGTGCGTGTGCGTGGTGTGCAGCACAGTGAAAAGTAGGTTCCCTTTTAGAAAACACGCAGCATTAGACATTTTCAGACCCCCTATATTTTCCCCATATGCAAAGGACATGGTGGTGCTTCTTGCTTCTGAGCAGCTCACAGATAGGGTGAGTGGGGCCCTGGGAACGCACTTCAAGGACTCAAGATCCACCCCCAACCTCCACCCGGGGTTGCCCAGCAGGCAGCCCAGGCAACAGCTCCAACCCCCAAACCTTCCAGGGTGGAAGTCCAGGGTTGCAGTCAGGAAACCTGGCTTCTGTAGGACTGCTGGGTACCTTTGGGCCAATTGCTCCTCCTCTCTGATCCTGCCCCTGAGGTACAGGGTTGAGAAAGCGCATGTGTAATTTGTTGCATGTGTGGCTGTGGAGGCTGGCGAGGCTGGTGAGGCTAGTGGTTAAACACGCAGGTGTGGGCATCAGTAAGACTTGGGTTCAAATCCCAGCTCCTCCCCTTGGATACTGACCTTGGCTTTACCTCCCCGTCCCCCCCGCCCCGCCTCAGTTTTATTATATATAAAACAGGGTCATAATACCCATCCCAGAGTCTGATTGCAAAGATTAAACATCATATAACAATAGCTGAAACTTACATAGCCCTTATTATGAACCAGGTACTGTATAAAATTTCACATATTAAGTTATTTAATCCTCCCACCAATCCTTTGAGGTAGGTGCCATTGTTATTCCCACTTTATGAGGAAACTGAGATTTACAGAAGTTATGTAGCATGTGGAGGCCTGGTGGCGCAGTGGTTAAGAGCTTGGCTGCTAACCAAAAAGGTCAGCAGTTCGAATCCACCAGCCACTCCTTGGAAACGCTATGGGGCAGTTCTACTCTGTCCTATAGGGTCACTATGAGTTGGAATCAACTCAATGACAATGGGTTTGGATTTTTAGTTTGGAGGTAACATACACGTGATTGGACAACAAATAAGTGGTGGAACCAGGATTTGAACCCAGGCAGATAAGGCTCCAGGACTTGCTAAACACATGGAGTAAAACACCAAGTATGGGCCTTCGTTTTAAGCATTTAATAATTACTGTTATTCTAATGCCTCCTGGAGTCCCTGGGTGGTGCAAATAGTTAGCACGCTGCTAACCCAAAGGATGGAAGTTTGAGTCCACTCAAATGCACCTCAGAAGAAAGGCTTGTCGATCTACTTCCAAAAAAATCAGTCACTGGAAACCAGTTTTACTCTGACACACATGGGGTCGCCATGAGACAGAGTCAACTCAACAACAACTGGTTTTTATGCCTCCTGCCCAACGTCCAGAGTAGGAACTGAACCTCAAGCTCAGCAGACACAGACTCGAGTGTTTATTCCAGAAAGAGTTCTAAGAAATGATCTTAGAGTACACAGTGGGGCAGCGAGTCCTACGGGCCTCTGAGCCGTCCCCCACCCTTCAGGCAGCAAAAGCAACAGCACCCCAGTTTTACAAAGCAGAGCACAGGAGCTCAGAGAGATGGAGTGAGTGTCCCAGGGTCACACAGCATAAAGCGGATGAGGCCAGGGTGTGTGTTGGGGGGTCCTTCCTGACTCAGATGGATGGGAAGATGAGGAAGCCGCTGAAGATGCTGTCCGCCTCGGAGCCCTGGTAAATGCGGCCCTTGGTGGGGTCCTTCTCGATCCAGACCTGGTCGCCGTGTTGGAGCTGGAGCACCGTACCCCCCGACACCACCTGGAAGAGCCCCTTGCTGTTGGTGTCACAGAAGCCCAGGGAGCGTTGGACCTGGCTCCTCGTGGAGGACATGATGGACAGGCAGATGTCCCACTTGGACACCACCTGGAAGGTAAAGTAGTAGTAGCCGGGCACGGCGCAAACAAACCTGCCCGAGTGGTTCTGGTACGGGCCTTCCTGGTTGGTGATGACTGTGTCAAAGATGACCACATTGCCACCCATTGGGGGGTTCCTCCTCACTGCCGAGAAGGCTGGCCGCGGCTGGTCCTTGATGTTCCCCGCGTTGCCCTTGGTGCCCTTCACTCCTGGGAGCCCAGACACCCCTGGGGGACCGCTGGGCCCCGGGAAGCCCACGTTGCCAGCTCTTCCAGGGGCCCCAGGTTCCCCCTGGTCTCCTTTGAGGCCTCGGATGCCTGTCCGGATGCCAGCAGCACCTGTGGGGACAGAGGCCCAATCAGACTGAAAGCCCAGTGCCCACTAATCCTCAGGGAGAGAGCTGGACCCTGGGGGAAGGGGCTGTGGGGGGAGGCAGTGCTTGGGCCTCCAAGATACTGATTCTATCTGGCTATGTGACCTTGGGCAAGTCTCTGACATCTCTGAGCCTCAGCTTCTTCATCTGCAAAATGGAGAAGAGTGTGGACAGACACTTGGGAATGCATCAGGTGCTGGGAAAGGCAGGGCACTCCGGCTCCTCTGCTTTGTCAACGGTCATGAACTCCACACTTCTCCTGGCCACTGGCCGACTTCAGGTTCAGGGACCACAGGTAGGATGCCTGGGTGGGAATTGTTGCAAATGTCTATGCTGGTCCTTCTGGTCTGGGAGACTCGGGGATTATGGGAGACCTTCCCTCCCGACTGTGGCCATCCCCTACTCCCTTTTCCTTCACCCCTAGCTTCTTTTTTTCTCCCAGAACATGAGAGGGTCTGAAGCCTGAAGAGTCTAGGGAGGGGGAAGCAGGGAAGGAATGGAGGGGGCTGCTGGAAGGAAACAAAGAGGATAGTTGCAGTTAATCGATCTGTCTCTATGTGCCAGGTAGGGGTTATTTCTCTATTTTGCAAATGAGGAAATTGAGGCTCAGCGAGGGTCAGTAACTTGCTTGAGGTCACACAGCAAGGCAGGAGGTCTAAAACCTGGGGCCTTAATTATTCTGTTGACTGAACCACCACCAAGGACTGGACACTGCTTCCAGGCCTTTCACATTCATTGTTCGTAGGGACTCATCCTCCAGAGGAAGAAGGGGAGGTCACAGAAAGAGGATCCAGGCAGTAAGGGGATGTGGAGGGGTCTGGGGGACTTTGGCATGGCCCAGGGAGAAGGCTAGGTCCCCTTCAACACTCTGGACCACGTGCAAACTAGAGGGGCTTCGTGTGGGGACCAAGGTGGACTCCTGCTTCCTAGTGCCACCCCTAAACCTTGCACCCTGGACACCAATCCAGGACAGGGGCTGAGAGGCTGGGGTACAAGGGAGGTGCTTACCTGGTTCCCCTTGCTCCCCCTTGAGGCCTGGCCGCCCTGGTCGGCCGGGTTTTCCAGCGGCCCCATCCTTCCCATCTGGTGCTCGGCACACTTCCTGGGTCACTGTGGAGGCCAAGGATACGGCCAGCACACAGACCGCCAGCCAACCCCTGGGGACCTCCATGATGGCACTGTGGAGACATGGGGCAGGGATCAGCAGGCTGGACATCACATACCCACACACATCCCCCTCACTCACTTGAATCTCATATACATAAGGATATGTACATACCTCCTCAAAGTGCACACACACACACACCCTCCAGGGCTTTCAGTGTCCACCCTCCATCTAGCACCAGGGACTGAACACAACCACAGACTCACACAGATGCACACACACAGCTGAGCACACTCATATGTTCAGACACCCAGACACACTAACACACACACGCACTCCCACACTGACACAGCCCCTCATCACACACCTCCCCAACACAGGACACAAGCTCAAGAGTCCAGTACCCACTCCTGGACACACACATTCAGATGATCGGCCCCACTGAACAAATGTTTATTGAGCACCTCCTCTTACTTCATGAACTCTCACCCAGTGGTGGAGTCGTCCATGGACACACAGGGATTCACAAACCCCTGACACACATCTGCTCACCCCCTTGCTCGCTCGGCCCTTTTCAGCACCCACTCATGTGGCCCCGCTGCAGGGCTCGGACACCCCCAGTCTTCTCCTAGCTTCTTGTGGTTTGGGGGACCAGGAACTCTGGGCCAAGGGGTTAAGGTCCCCCCAGTCTCCCATTCTGGGTCCTGGAGCAAAGCCCCTCCCCCTCCCTGTACTGGTGTAGTACCAGCTCCAGGTGGTCTCCCTCCCTTCCTCCTTGCCTCAGTTGTCCAGACCCTGGGCCAGCTCCCCTGCTTCCAAACCCCACAGCCCCCTCCCTCTCAGTCCCTGGCCTCACCTGCCTCTGGTCGCCAACTCCGACTGGGTTCCTGTCCTCCACCCGGGCCCTCCGCCTTCTGGGACCCCGGTGGGACACCCAGCAGGGGTGGCGCCAGCTGTGGCCGAGTTTCACATCCCTTCCCACTTCCCCTTCCCCTTCTCTGGACTGCCCCCGGCACTGCCCCAGGGGCCAGGGACATTTTGAGCAGACCTCAGCAAGACTGGGACATTGGATGTCCTACCCCAGCCCCAGCTGGTGTGGGGGTGGGGACAGCGAGGCGAGTATCTGCCAGGATAGGGACAGCGGAGGGGTACTACGCGGGGCTGTGAGAATCAGAGAAGCACAGTACCCAAGGGCAAAGGAACATGTTTTAAAAAATCAGGAACTCATAGGACTTTTTCATGATTATGAAAGCAACATGTGTTCGTTGCCAAAAGCTTGGAAAACAGAAAAGCATGAAGAAAGAACAGTGCAGCGCTGAGGCGCAGAAGCAGCTCCGCAATCCGCTTTCTAGACTTGCTACTTCCTAGCTGTGTGTCCTTGGGCAAGAACTTAACCTCCTGGGGCCTCAGTTTTCTTATCTGTAAATAAGGAACAATAGATCTTTTTAAAAAAATTTTATTAAAAAAATTTTTTTTATTGTGCTTTAGATGAAGGTTTACAGAGCAAATTAGTTTCCCATTAAACAATTAATACACATATTGTTTTGTGACGTTGGTTGCCAACCCTGCGATGTGTCAGCACTCTCCCCTTCTTGACCTTGGGTTCCTTAGTATTCGCTTTCCTGTCCCCTCCTGCCGTTTCATCCTTGCCCCTGGGCTGGTGTGCCCATTTAGTCTCGTTTTGTTTTATGGGCCTGCCTCATCTTTGGCTGAACAGTGAACCTCGAGAGTGACTTCAGTACTGAGTTGAAAGGGTGTCCGGGGGCCATACTCTCGGGGTTTCTCCAGTCTCTGTCAGACCAGTAAGTCTGGTCTTTTTTTGTGAGTTAGAATTTTGTTCTACA